TAGATAGATAGATAGATAGATAGATAGATAGATAGATAGATAGATAGATAGATAGATAGATAGATAGATAGATAGATAGATTTTAAACAATCTTTAGTCCAGATCGATACAAATACTAAATGCACTGTCGGTGGGTTTGTGCCAAAGTATGTGTTGATTATCAACAGCAAGTGCACTTGCGGATTTTTCACAGTTCGAATCATTGCCTCGCTTCCGACAAACAAAAGGAAAAACACCGGCTTGTGAACAATATAGGTGCTGAATGGCTGTTAACCAGCATGGTTCTGTTACAGCATGCAAGGCCGAGGATAGAACCACGTGAGCGCCCATTGACCATTAAGTCTGTGAAACTGTTTCTCTGCCAGGTTATTCTGCTTTTTCTTTGCCACCATCTACTGGCTTCACCGGCTCTGGATCTTCCAGCAAGGCTTGTTGTCTCTCTCGTTCCTTCACCAGCTGCACACCACAGTAGGTCACGAGTAACACAGAGAGGGTCGACAGAGGAAAACCTAACAATAGGACAAAGAAGAAGGAGGAAGGGGGGGTGAGAACATTAAAGCAGAACTTTAAAGGAAATACTGCAGATAATCCAGTGAACAAGCCCTGTCAGAGTTGTGTCACAGAATGTTTAATGCTATGAAGAAAACAGAAGCGATGCTAAAGTCAAATGATCTGTGGAGCATTAAGCCCCTCAAGTTTTTACTTTTCTGTGCAGGGCTTCTGTGCAGGGTTTTTTCTCAGTTCTAAAAAGAACTGAGAAAAAACCCTGTTTTTTATTCATACTGATGTTGTTCCCCACCTTTAAAAATCAGTCTCCTTCCCACCATTTTGGCAAACTCCAAACTGTTCAGGGAGAGAACATTGTAGAGGACGATAGCCCAGAAGTTGGCCGCATTGAACAAACCGCGGATCCTGCGTGACATGGCTTCACCCATGGCACTCTAACAGAAGACACACAACAGAGCACAAATTTACAACTAACACAGAAAAAGAAAAAATGTAATTCTGCTGCCATCCTGCAGACCTGTGAAATGTTTGATAGATGCTTAGTCCATCTTTAAATTAGGATCTGTTTTGCTTTTCTCTTGTCTATTATATTCTTGGGGCAAATATAATAGATCCACTTCTTTTAATAATGGCTTTTTACATGAATAAAAATAGTTCCACACCTCAAAATCGTGTCGCTCAGCTTACTTTTGATCCTGTTGCTCTCAGGTCAGTACTGTATTAAGGCCCATCAAACTAAGAGATGGATCTGTGAAGTTGATAACCACCAGTTTTATTTATTAACTGCCAGTTCACTCCCCTTTATAATGAAAGGTACAACATTAAAGAGAATTAGATAATAGCCCCTGAGGCTCACTTGGCAACAGTGAGAAGGAAGAACTTCCTTTAGACAGGAAGAGAACTCTGGTAGAGCCAGACAGAAATCTGCCGTGACCAGTTGGGGTGTTGGGGGAAAGAGGAGAGAAACAAGAAGGGCACGGAGAAACAGGAACCAAATACACACTATTCTGTCTCAGTCCATTACGCAGCTTCCACAAAGTGTGATAGAGTGACTTAAAATCAGTGCTCATTAAATACCAAGATCACTATCAGTGATGAAGAAGAGATTCTGTATCCAGTGACTAAATGTGATGACAAAATGTTGATAGATTCCTGTGTTTGTGTCAAGATTCTAAAGAATTTTTTTTACCAAGTAATTTAATTTCTTCTTTAAATGTATCAGACACAAATTGTTATTCAAGGCAAGAATTTTCATCCATGCTCAAACATGCCTAGGGGCCTTACTATTTGCCTTATCGTTTCTCACCTCTATGGTAGAAAGTGGTGGAAGGGAGAAGAACTTGGCCACCCACAGCTCAAAGTTGAGACCAAAGCAGTTGAAAAAGGACCAGATATAAACCAGTTCACATGGGCCCAGCCACAGGGTGGTGACGGCAAAAGTGCAGATGGTTGCAAGAAGTTCTTTGAAGATTTGATCGTGATTTCCACCAATGTAGTCGTAAACATACCTGCACGTGACACAACGATGAGTCAAAATCCTCTTGTCTATACCGCGTTCGGTTCTTTATGCCCATGAATTTAAATCATCCATGCACTCACTTGCACAGCCAGTCATTGATGCCTCTGTCAAAGTGCCTACAAAAGACACAAAGTTTCATGAATACTTTCACACATTTTACGGTTTTGCAGAGCGAACCAAGAAACTACACTGTGGTTTCACACTGCTGATGCAAGTCGCACGTACGTCTCAGCGAAGACGTAAAGCATGGTGATACACTTGGGAGGCTGAGGAGGGTCCAGGTGATCCAGCATTGCCACGGTGTTGATGACGCCGAACATTACAGCCGCTTTCACCCAGTCATACACCAAGTTGGAATAAGCCAGTCCAGCTGTGAATCACATAAAAACAAATCTGAATCTTTCCTGATTAGAATATATCCCACAGTCTTTTCAGGCATTTATTTAAAGTCCTGCCTCTGAGAAAACCTCCAGTAGCAGATTAACTTGAAATGATGTCTCATTACAATTTTAGATTATTCATTTTTTCACTGATTTTCCTTGGAAATAGTATGATTTTAGGGAATAACAATGTTATTTCAAACCACAAGAAATCAAATGACTGAAGCAAGAAAACTTCAGTGCAAGTGCGAAAGAAAGGAAAAAGCTTTGGATTTAATTACTCACCCAGAGACCAGTCAGAAAGCTTAGCGACCAGCTTCATGTCACTGGGTATCGTCAGAATGTAAAGGTAGTGGAAGAAGACATCCACCACGAGAATACCTCCCAGGTGCAACAAGGCCTTGGTGGTGATGTTCCACATCTCCCTCTCTTTACGGATCAGCTGAGTGTTATTTGCCTGCAGAACAAAAGCTTCCACTAAACCCACATGCTGTTGTTGGAATTATAGAATAATGTATACTTTATTGTGGGGAAATTACTCTCTCTGCATTTGAGAGAGGGCAGCCACTAAGCAGGCGCACCGGGGGAGCAGTGCGTATGGACAGTACCTTGCTCAGGTAGCCATTCAGGGGATTTGAACCCCTGACCTTCCGATCATGGGGCGACCACTCTACCTACTGAGCTATCCCTGCCATATTCCATAGAAACTTGAATATTTGATGATTACTCCATTCAGAATAGCAGAGTTACAGATTTTTAACTATTTTTGGACCAATTAATTATTCACATTAATAAAATAGTTAATTAAAGAATAGATGTACCTACTGTTGATTAAAAGAAATATTAGGGTTTCTTTTTTAAAAAAAACACCAGTTTATCTTTATATTCCGTTTGATTTCAATCCTCACCTGGGCATGAAACCGGTCGAATGTCATTATCGGTCCAAAGAAGAAGAATGGGAGGTAGAAGTTGTATTTCACCAGGTCTGAGAACGTGTAGTTGCCTTCCTTCTTCTCGCAGTTCTCTAAAGCAAAACTCATACAGCGCATGATGCTGAAGCCACAACCGCCATAGAACAGGATATCTTGGAGGTTGAAGGAACCAGTTACCAAGGCTTCCTGTTGTGGGGCAGTGGGGGGATAAAAGTTATTCTGAGCCTCAAACACCAGTCTGCATAAGGACGACAATAACAATCTGGCAGAAGCTGTATGCTGTCAGTACTGTAATCATGTGTCCATACATTACATATTAGACCAAATACTATAATTTGTAATGTTATCTGTAGTGTTTCGGGATCGTTCTCCGGTTTGGTAACGCTTCTAAGATCACCTACAGCTGAAACCTTTCACAGTGGTGTGGATAAAGGGGGGCCAACAACAACTGTGTGTAGCAATGTGAACACTATGATGCTACAGAGCATTCACGTTTTCTAGTGCATGTTTAGGGAGGCTGGAGGTCTGTCTGCATTTAAATTCAACCAATTTTCAAATGGTTTTATTGGTTGTTTCTTTCTAATAAACCTCACTTATTTCCAGTGGGCTTCAATAACTGCTTCTGAGTCTGAATCACCACATTTTGGAAAATCCTGGAAACACCCCTACAAACTCAGCTAAACTCCAGAAAAGTTGCAGTTCAGTTTTATTTATATAGCACCAAATCACAAATGAAGTTGTCTTAAGGTGTTTTATATTGTAAGGTAAAGACCCTACAATAATACAGAGACAACCCAAACAATCAAATGACCCCTCATGAGCAAGCACTGAGAGAAAGTGGGAAGGAAAAACTCCCTTTTAACAGGAAGCAACCTCCAGCAGAACCAGGCTCAGGGACGGGCAGAAAGAACTTCCATTAGGATCATTAGGAAGAAATGTGGTGGTCGAGCACAAATGTTGTAGTATTTATTACATGCGTCGCTGGACTTTGGAAGTAGGTGAAGTTGTTAAACTTCTACGTTGCTACCATTCCCTCACCTGCCAGGAGTTAAAGGGCTCCAGCTTGATGGAGGCCAGCGTACACAAGCCTGCAGCGAAGCACATCCATTTACTTTTGAATATAGCCACGCTGTATAGTATGATGCAATGAGAAAGAACCAGAGCCAAGAAAGTCCAGCCCATCGTAACCAGGACTGCCAAACCTCCATACACCCCAAAGACCAAGGATCTGTGCTGTGGATAAGAAGGAGCCAGAATTAGTCAAGATATCAGGATATAGTTCAGAATTCAGGAACACACATGAAGAGTGGTGTTAGTATAATAACACTCATGACACTGCAAAAAATTAAAATACCTAAGGATGGGAAGATTAAATTACAGGGCAATGAAAACAAATCTACAGTCCACATATGCACAATTTAAATGAAATGCATGGCAAATGTTGTGAAATTCTAAGATCTTTTAATGTTACCTTACATCCATTTATACCAATCTTCATTGTAAACATGAAACAAGACAGAAAACATGTTTAAAACATGATGAACTGTTTTAAATATGTCCAGATATTCACAGCAGAGACGCAACAGATGGGAACTTGGTATCAAAGAAAGCAGCTCATGCTGTGTTGAGTCACTCTGTCAGGCCTTGAGGTTCAAATAAAAGCCACGAGAAACATTTTTGTTCTGGAACAGAAAAACATCTCATTGAATAAAAATGGAATAAAACTACATTTAATTAATCACTTCAAGGCCTTCTGTTCACATCAGCAGAATGCAGCTTTGCATTTACTGTAATATCTTTCTTCACACTTGAGCACACACAAATATGTATTTCATACATATTTACAGAGAAAACACCATGAGCCCGCACGTGTATTTATTCAAAACCCAGGAGTATCTCGTGAGCATTCACACCCGCGCACCTTTGGAGCCACCAGGGAAAATATCTTGGCAAAGATCACATGACCAATGAGAGCAAAAAGGATATGATTGCGGAATGTCGTGAACCACATCACCCATTCGAAGTCCGCAGCATCCTACAGCAAGGAAAAATGCATTAGGATCAAATAACAACCGCTCGCTTAACATGGCGCTGTGCAGCCGTATAGAGAATACATGAAGAAGAGGGACTTACCATTTTCCTGCCAAAATAATGCCATCCTGGTTTGACGCTTTCCTTGAAGGTCTTCCTGTTTGCATTTTCTGAAAAAACGAACAAACAAAAAAACGATAATCTCCATTTGTGCATGCTGAGGTGTTTTATTAATAATGCAAAACAGCTTTAAGTAATGACAGGACACTGTAAAGCCTCTGTGTTAGGGAATCCAGGCTTTGAGCAGCTTTGCTTTGGGCATTTTTATATGAGCTGGTTATTCCTCTGTAAGAAAACAGTCGTGCAGGTAGTCACAGCTTGAAGAGCTTTGGTGTGTTCATTGGATTATTGCAAATTTAAGGGCCTGAGAGCACTTCTGGTCTATTTTATAACACCAAATATTACATAATACACTCACTGCAGAGCTTTCTATTCTGAGGCTGACATCTAGTCTCATGTAGATATAATCTTGTTGCAGTAGAGTAGTTTTCTATATAACCTGAACAAAGCGCTAACACATAAATGACAAACACAACACCAAAAACAATCGCAGTGGTGACCAAAGTTGAAGCAATCAGTGTTGCAACAAATGTGATCAACCTACACCACCACCACCACCACCACAGTGGGGAGTAGGGTTTTCCAGCCAAAGCTGGAGAAGCCTCAAAATGTAAGGGTCATTCGGGGAAAGCCTCTTACTTCTGGGAACACAGCCAAACTACTATTGCCAGTATACAGTGCTACTGTAGCATGCAGACCTGAGTATTACAAATGACCATTTTAAGAGACAGAGACTGAAGGAGAAAAAATATCTGGACTAAAATGATGATTGACATCTAGACTGTATGACAGCACAGACGGTGACAGACAGCACCAGTCACCCGATTGCACTCAGTCCACTCAGATCACTTTGTGAAGAGGCTGGTCGAAGCATGTCATAGTCTGAATGCATGCAAACATTTGGTGTTATTTCAGGATGAAGGGTTTGGAGTTAGTTGGCTCAGTGTAACTTAGTCAGAAATATCTCCATCTGGGAAATAATTAGAGAGTAAGTGGACCATTTTTTTCAAATTGTCTTCACATAATAAGAACACGCAGGAGTTCCTTGGGGGGAAGCAGTCTCTTTTCATCTACTAAATGAACTTTGTTCTGCCCTGTTTTAGGTTAAATGGAGCACTGTTGTAGGATGTAGGACGGTGCTTTTTGAGGCAGTTTTTAAATTGCATTGGAATTGAATTGCATTGTCACTTGGCTTTCAGTGACATTTATCAGATCATGAGTGAAAATTGTGCTCCTAAAGCTGATAGTAGGTGCATAAAAGAGTCCATTCACTCCGACTTTAGGGAATATTAGTGGATTTCAATTAACCTCTATAAATGTTAAAGCACTGTGATATTGATTTTTTTTTGGACTTTCTCAGTTACACCAACAGCCTGTGTGTGTGTGTGTGTGTGTGTGTGTGTGTGTGTGTGTGTGTGCGCGCGCGCATGCATGCACTCCGGACATCTCTTGACACGTTGTGCACTCACCACTTGAAGCTTCAAATATCCAACTGCCTGCCCATATCAAGGCCACAGCAAGTACAGCTGTGTAGAGATACAGCTCATATCTAGGGAGGGCAGTCTTGATCCCCATGGTGAATCTGCACACTTGAAGCCTAATGGGTTGAAAAGCAATCAGCCACATAATGTTAGACCTAAGTGAAGGGAACCAGTATAAATGAACAGAAAACAAAACAAAAAAAGGAAAACTCAGAGAGAAATGCAGGGTTAAAAAGTTTATTTTACTGAACCAGGTTATTCTTTGGAAATTGTTACATTGTAGTTTGCTGTGACATGTCAGTATGAAAGCATGCACGTTAACAGGTTCCTCGATAAATAAAATGCTCCGCAGGATTAACCGGACAAAACATGAGGAGAAACCCAGTACAGTTAATTTTTATGGTAGATGTCCTTGGCAGTGTTACCCAGTGGAAATCAGCCTGTGCCTATAGAAACTATACACCCACAAAAACGGGTCAGCACAGTAATAACACAAGTTCCTGACTGGTCTGAGACAGACCGGGGTGTTTCACCGAGGTGGTATTTTACTAATAAGCTTCCCGGATCGACAGCCCAGTGACTTAAATAGGACTTCAGAGCTCTGGCTCCTCGGAATCAGCACCGTCAGCTGCGCAACCCTACCTCTCCTTCCTATTATAGTACTGTCTTGCAGTTGGTTTGCTGTACAGCAGGGCAGCTGCAGTGCTATGTGATCTGGGAGGCGCTGGGGACTCACTTCACAGAATAATTAGCCCTAACTGGAATGGCCAAGAATGGCGCACTGGAGTGGGAAAACCGTTAGTTTTCAGGTGGACAGCCCGGGTTCCTGGCTGTGTTAGGGCGTGTGCTTCATGCTCATGTAGCGCACTTTGAGTTGAACTTAAAGGAGTTGGACGAACAAGTGTGGCATGCCAGTGCCAAGATGTAACCATGGCTATGCAGATCCCCCGCAAAGCGGCATGCATACAAATTGAGGCTTACTTTTTCAATGCTCTGTGCGCACAGAGTCGATAACACACCGGCTGTTTGTTCTGATTGTTCCCCCCTGGTGGTTTCCGTCATATTTATCACTTTGCATTAATACAAGACTTGTTTTACTAACCTTATATCCGCTTTACACTGTCAGGATGAGGGCAGCACTACAGCCAGTTCTTCAATAGACCAAAGAAATTGGGGGAAAGCAGGTGGCGGCAAAAGCAGATTTCATTTCATTCGTCTTGCGGGGGCTTTGCCGCTGCCTCTGATCACCAGCCTCTGGCAGTCAGGATGTTGCGGACCCAACGAAAGGAGGAGGAAGAGGAGGAGGAGGAGGAGGAGGAGGAGGGGGGGATATATTTATCCACCACTACTGCACCGCAATGAGGGGTGGTCCACACCGTGTCCATCGGATCTTACTCACAAACATGGTTTATAACGACGAAAAAAGAAAGTCAATCAGTAGCAATTAGCCTAATTGAGAGCCAATCAAAGATAGAATGGATCTGACTTGATAAATTATATGCGGATGTTAAAAGTGCAATGAAATATGATTGCACTTACTGTTACAGACCCAAGTCTTTCACGTTTTCCGGTTAGATGCAACAAAGGCAGTGTTTCTACAATTTGAAAGAAATTGGTTTTTTTCTGTTTTTAAAAATAATTTTCTGTACTCTGTGATATCGTCGAAGACCGCCATATTATAAAACGCATTAAATGCCTAAGGAATTTGGGGGATTTTCATATATTAGTCAGTGCTTTCCCGTTTCAGCACACACACATCACATCTGCGTCTTTCTATTTTTAATCACTCACAACATAAAATGTCATTTGTCAAGAAACCACCCACTCCAAATCACACTGCGACTGATGGGATTGAATGCATGCAGGCGCTGTTTCATAGTTACTAAGGCAGCATTGTTGTCATTTAGACACTAGGTGTCGCTCCCGGTTTATTAAAAATGACAAAAACCCCTGAATACCAGGGGTTTTTGGATCAACGTCAAGTATTTGCTCGGTTTGTTGTTTTCCTGGGAGCAGTGTTAAATCGATAGCTTAGTGTCACTATAAACGGCCCCATTAAGCATATTCTGTTTGGGAAAGTTTTCCCCCCAAATGCTAATAGTAAAGAGTCTGTTGCCTGCGGACATCAGTAATTACAGCCCAAGAAAGCCGCGTCCAGCCAGCTGCATGGTTTGAGCAATGTAGTGCGGCGAGTTTGTGCTGCCTGCCTGAGAGAATCCATCACAGAAACAAACCGCCCCCTCCCACTCACGGTGCCCCCGCTTCAGATGCAACTCAAAATACATAAAGCCTCCATGTTGCACAGGGAATGTAGGGCCAGCACATATGAACCGACTGCCTAAAAGTGTCTGGTAACTTTAACGCCGAACAACCTGCGGTCGTTGCATTTTTTTGAACTAGAACAACCATCTGGGCTTCCAAGTATTTTCAGCGGTGCTCCAGACACGGCCTCGCATTTTGGATAATCGAAGGTTTGCGGCTAACTCGCTAACCTAAGCTACTTGCTAACTTCAGTTAGTTAGCAATTTCAGCGTCTTTTCTATTTATTTGTTTTTTATAGTCACGCACGCTCCTCGCGTTGCCCACAAACATAGTTGTTTGTAGCGATGGTAGTTTTCGGAAAGCCATAAATGACAGACATTATCTGGCTTCCATTCACCACTGTGCTAGCTGGCTGGCTACCACCGCTGCCACAACCCCTTCGCCTCGGACGCTTTCCTGGCTTCGTGGGCTAGCTGGTTACCTTCATCTTAAACAGCTAGCTAACAGTAGCTAGCAAAGGAAGCAAGCGCGCTTGTACTATTGACATTGTGGGAACTAAAACAGGAATAACCAATCGTCTAAATGGACCACATGTCCATAATAACCCAAGTTTCTAACCCCAAGGAGGAGGAAATAATATCATTTAACCAGGAAAAAGGTAAGGAAAAAGTCAATTTACGGTACATAACTAATGCTAGCTGGCTGACTACTTTTCTCTGTTGACGTTAGCTTTTATTCGCACTTGCTAGCTGTTGTAGTTGTTAAAGACCTCAGTTGCCTTTGTGTGAAAAGATGGAAACACGTCTTTTGTTGAAAAAGAAAAAAAAACTCAACTACGCAACAAGTTTGTCAGTGGGGCCTTGCCCGGGTAAGTTCTCCAACTAGGATAACGTTTGTTCATTGCGTTTTCCTAATGAAAAGCGCTCCAGCGCGTTTTTTTCCCTTTAACATTAACGAAAATTCACTGTCTGCATCAAATTAACGTATATTTTGTAAAAGTATTTGCAATAATACATCTGGAAAGTACACTTCTCTTTATGCGTTTGGACTATATAACTGGACCATATGATCTGACAGCTCTGACAGTTGATTCATGTATGGATCGAGTTCTCGGTGGTTTGGATTGAGGTTAGCAAGAAGTTCCTAAGGACGAAGCTAATACGCGGACTAAAGAGAACTGTGCTGCTGGTGTTGTGTATCGATTCAGTTTTACTTCATACACATAGCAAAGCTACCTGTGCAGCTTATGGGAAACTTATTCGGTTTGTCTGAGATGTAAACAGTGAAACTGTTTTATCCGCGCTTATTGTTTCTTGTGAGGTTTGTGTGTTATGCAGTGAAATTAACCTCCAGTTTTAGGTCTTTTCCTATATGTATCAATTCTAAACAATATTCTGTCCTCTGTAATCGATGGGTTTGTTTTTTTTGGGGTTTTTTTTTAAGTGCTGCTTAAACGTGAATGACTTCTCCACAAGCCCATAGCTCCTAATATCCAGTGATTCTCATTCCTGGCGCCCTTTGACACTTTACCTATGCACCGGGTCACCCTGGTGCATAGGGTGTGTATCAATATCACATCTCAAACTTCTCTTCTCAGACCATCAGTAATGTGAGAACTTGAGTCTTTGAAGCACAACAATGCATTTGCCTGTAAGCTATAAAAGTGACCCAGAGTAACTGCTGTGGATTCTGTGTCACTTGAATATACGTGGGTTGTCTTGGGAGGTTATTCTTGCATGTGTGCTGGAGTTTAACACTTAAGGTGGAGTTATATGGCAATTAAACTAATCATATGCCACTACGGTGATATAACAGTGTTAAGACAGCTTACTAGATCAGTAAGCATATACCATGTTTAGCAAGCCTGTTACAGATAGTTGGTCTGCTTCTGAAGACATGCACTTTACTGCACCCAGGTAGTATTTTAGTATGATTTCAGTGTGTTTGCCAACAGAGGCGGTCGAGTACAAGCATTCACTCTGCTAGAATTCATTGTTTGTGTGTTGGGTTGCTGCATGAAATAATATAAGACTAGGTGCGAGAGTGTGCGTGTAACAAGACACAGTTGAGTTACAGGATGAAATAGAGCAGTGACGTGGATGCTCGCTTCTCACAACAAATAATATAATCATTATAACAATTGTATATGTCTTTGTCCTTTCTCCCCTTTGTTCTTAATCTGGAAAAATGGCAATTCAATTTCAGAATCTGCAAAAAAAAAAGTCAGATAGGGTGCAGGTGGGTCTTCACAAGATACAGGTGGGGCAAAACAGATGGCAGGACAGAAGGACTGTGCATATAAATTACAACAAACATGTGGTAACAGCACTTGTTTTTTATTTCAGTCTCTCTTATTTTTTCTTTCCTAATTAGCAGCCAGTTTTGTGAATAGAATTTTTTATATAGAATAGAATATTTTGCCAAACAAAACTGTCCACATTTGGCACTTGGTGGAAGTTTATAATCACATAATTTAAAAAGTCTATAAATATTTAACAGCATTATTTCTATACACATTTTCTGATGTAAATACAAAGTCAGATTGTCATTTATCTATTGGAGATCACCTAACATGTAGCCCATGCGGCCATCTGTCTTAAAGGAATTAAATAGGTAGTCTTCCAATTGCCTGAACAGGCGCCAAACTGTCTGGGCAAAAACTGACCACCTTTGCTCTTAATGTTCCTCTGCTGGCTGTCTTACAACATGTGCCTGCCTCTCACACTGGTTTGGCTCCCAAGCAGCAGCAGCAGCAGCAGCAGCCTATATATAGACCTACAGTCTTGCTGGGAAGGGCACTAACCCCAGAGCCAAGTGTAACTAATTGTAAGATGACAGTGATCATTTTCTGTGTTGTCACAGACATACTTTGAAAGGGGAAAAACAAAAACAAAAAAGCTCTTCATTTCCAAACAGAGGCCATCAGAGCAGTGATTTCTGTGGGTCTTTTTCTTGAATTTGAAGAGTCTTGTTGATTTCAACAACTTAAACTTGCCACTCAGCTGAGATTGTTGTAATGAGATCTTATTAATATGTCTGTGAGATGGATGGAGTGTTACACATGATCCATTTACTGTTACGATAAATTCCTTGCTAATAGTGTTGGAAGATTGATTCATATGGGGTGACCTTGACTGAGCCCTCTTCTAGCTTCTTCTGCTATTAAGTTCTGGTGTTTCCTGTCTATATTTGTTTAACCTCATGAACACATTGAATTTAAATAAAAAGAAGGAAGCACTAAATACATTCAAATATGCTACAGATTTAGCTTTAATTAAGTCCTCGATTAGCAAAATAGGATAAATATTTCCCAAGCATTAAACTTGTCAAGATTAATATTAATAACAGTTTAGAAAAGCACCAAAATATATGTATCTATTGGAAATTACTTATATTTTGTACTATGCATTCAATTTTTAATAAGTTTTGGTTTTTCTGTGGTTACTAATGGAATCAAAATTTAGTGGAAAAATTGCAGGAATACATTTTTTTTAGTTGTAGTTTAAAATACTGTCTTAATTCTTTTGGTCATTTAGTTCTCAGCCAGTTCCACATTTTCCAATCAATGGGATTTATAAGCCTACAAGCTTATCAGTTGCCAATGCCAGGATCTTTTTGTTTGCTTTAAAGTGGGCTGCACTTTACAAAAGAGTGATAGCAAACTCACGGCAGTGGAGTATCCACATATCCTCACTTAAGCTACTAAAAGTCTTCATTTAGGGAATCTACTAAAAGAAGACCCCTTTCCGCGCTAAGAAAAGTTCAATAAAGGGAGAAAAAAAAGCAACAACAACAAAAAACAGCACAGGACTTGGGTTGGCTATCAATAAAGTCTTAATGGCACTATCAGTTCTGGTCAGAAGTCTGACTATCGGTTCTCTCATGGGTTACTGATCAGTTTTCTGCCTGGCCAAAAAACAGTTCTGCATAGGTTTTCACAGTCAGTGCAACAGTTTTATTACTTGTATCTAAAAACAGTCTAAAAACACAGAAACAGAGCAGAGTTGAAGAGTTGAAAATT